AAAACAAATTAGTGGCATATATAACCTCCTGAGTAAGATAAGTTGAAACAAGAGAACATACTAAATGATTCCTTTTTTTTTTTTTTTTTTGAGATGGAGTCTCACTCTGTCCCCCAGCCTGGAGTGCAGTGGCACGATCTCAGCTCCGCCTCCTGGATTCAAGAAATTTTCCCTGCCTCAGTCTTCCAAGTAGCTGGGATTACAGGCATCTGCCACCATGCCTGATGAATTTTTGTATTTCCACTAGAGACAGGGTTTTGCCATGTTGGCCAGGCTGGTCTTGAACTCCTGACCTCAGGTGATCTGCCCGCCTCAGCCTCGCAAAGTCTTGGGATTACAGGTGTGAGCCACCAGGCCCAGCCAAAATGATTCCATTTTTATGAAGCAGATGAATAAGCAAAATTAATCTATGGTGGCTGCTATAGTTTAAATATTGGTCCCCTCGAAATGACATGTTTAAATGTCCCCAGTATTGGAGGTGGGGGTTAATGGGAGGTGTTTGGGGCATGGGAGTGGATCCCTCATGAATAGAATAATCTCCACACTGGGAGAAGGTAGTGAGTGAATTCTCACTCTCTTAGTTCCTGTAGGAGCTGGTTATTAAAAAGTGCCTCTCACCTTTACTCGCTCTCTTTTGCTTCCTCTCTCACCGTATGATCTCTGCACACACTGGTTCCTTTTCATCTTCTGCTGCAAGTGGAAGCAGCCTCAGGCCCTCATGAGGAGCAGATGCAGGTGCCATGCTTCTTGTGCAGCCTGCAGGACTATGAGCAAAATGCACCTCTTTTCTTTATAAATTACCCAGCCTCTGGTATTCCTTTCCAGCAACACAAAGGGACTAAGGCAGTGACAACATTCAGAATGTGTTCTTCATTTGGGGGATGTGTTGACTGGCAAGGATCACATCAGAACTTTGTGGCATGGGTGAAAATATTCTCTGTCTTTAACTGGGTGTTATTATACAATGTCTAATTATATTAAAATGTGTTAAGCTGTACTTTTAGGTTTTTTGCAGTATACTCTATGCAAATTATACCTCAGCGAAGAACTGTTAGCAACAGCAAAGAGAGAAAACAAACACTCAAAAATGTGAAAATTGACAGAAAATAGGTAACAAATATTTAGCATATAAATAAGAGGGATCCGTTGAGAAGAAACCAAAAGCAATGGAATAGAACAAAGACAAAAAAGTATAATAAAAAAGAGTTTTAAATTTCAAAGTTTGAAATGGTATTAAAGTGGCACACTCTTTCCTTGGGAAAATCAAGTGAGAACCACAAACTCTGAGACTAATTCCAGCAAAAGTATGTAAATCAGTTTGATCTAATGGTACCAGGTTAACTTTGAAGGCTAAAAGGAACTGGTTTCTAATTCTTATCCTCTCCTCACTAGTTTTGTGACCTAGCGAAATTTTGCAATCTTTCTGAGTTTGTTTTCTCATCAGGAGCAGGATAATACCTAAGTAACAGGATAGTTCATAGATTTTTTTTTTTTTTTTTGAGATGGAGTCTCACTCTGTCACCCAGGCTGGAGTGCAGTGGCTCTATCTTGGCTCACTGCAAGCTCCACCTCCTGGGTTCACACCATTCTCCTGCCTCAGCCTCCCGAGTAGCTGGGACTATAGGCGCCCGCCACCACACCAAGCTAATTTTTTGTATTTTTAGTAGAGATGGGGTTTCACCATGTTAGCCAGGATGGTCTCGATCTGACCTCATGATCCGCCTGCTTCGGCCTCCAAGTGTTGGGATTGCAGGCATGAGCCACCGTGTCTGGCCAGTTCATAGATTTAAATATGATTGCATGGCAGTGGACATGAACCATAATTGTTAAGAACATATTTACACTGAGCGCTCCTTTATCCACGTTAAAATGTAGACAAACAACAATTGACAAAGAATAGACAAACTGTTCTAACATAAATATTCTTTTGTTTCTAGAAAGAAGTCACACATACGGTAAAAATAGAACCTAGTTCATTTTGAACAATCTTCCTCAAACCCTGAAACAGGTGTACTGTCTAACATGAGAGATGTCTTGAATGAGTCCAACCCCTGCAGTCCCCTCTGTCTGGAATAGACGTAGGAAGTTTGCTCTAGCCTTAGAACAGCATGGGCTGGCAAGCGTTCTCAGAGAGGCTCTCGACTTCAACTGTAAAGGCCCTGAGGAATATGTGCAACTGGGTCGGGTTAAGGCCAAGCTGAACCACACGACCAGGGCTGTCACCAGTGCCAAAGTCAGTGGAAGGATATCAGTCCCCAAAGCTCTGTTACAGGCCATGGGATGCTCCATGGAGGGGTGGTGAGCATATGAATAACAATCAGGAGAAACATCGGTAATGGACAGGAGGCATAAATAAGCAATGTTCACCCTCCACTAAAACCCAGGAAATTCTCTTTCAAAAAACGATGTCTTGAAGAAAACATAGGTATAAATCTTTGTGACTTTGGATTAGACATTTTTAAAGTAGGCACAAACAACTCAAAAATAGATATATAAATGGACTTCATTAAAATAAAAATCTTATGTGCTTTAAAGGACACTGTCAAGGAAGTGAAAAGATAATCCACATAATGGGAGAACTATTTCCAAATTATATATTTGACATGGGTCTAGTACCTAGAGTATACGAGGAATTCATATAACTGAGCAATAAATGACAAACAACCAAATTTGACAATGGGTAAAAAGCTGTGAGTAGAGGTTTCTCTAAAGCAAACACACAAATGGCCAAGAAGCACATGCGAAGATGTTCAGTGTTTTTCATCATTAGGAAAATGTAAATTTAAACCAAAATGAGATACCACTTCACACCCACTAGTATGACTTAAGAAGAAAATAGGCCAGGCGTGGTGGCTCACGCCTGTAATCCCAGCACTTTGGGAGGCTGAGACGGGCGGATCACAAGGTCAGGAGATCGAGACCATCCTGGCTAACACGGTGAAACCCCGTCTCTACTAAAAATACAAAAAATTAGCCAGGTGCGGTGGTGGGCGCTTGTAGTCCCAGCTACACGGGAGGCTGAGGCAGGAGAATGGCATGAACCTGGGAGGTGGAGCTTGCAGTGAGCCAAGATTGCGCCACTGCACTCCAGCCTGGGCGACAGAGCAAGACTCCATCTCAAAAAAAAAAAAAAAAAAAAAAAAAAAAAAAGAAAAAAGACAATACATGTTTGGAAAGTTACAGAGAATATGAAATTCTCATATATTACTAGGGGGAATGTAAAATGGTGTAGCCACTGAAGTTGGTAAACAGTGTGTGAATTCCTCAAAAAATTAAACATAAAAAAAAGTTAAACATAAAGTGACATATGATGCAGCAATTGCACTCCTAGGTTAATAACCCAGAAAATGAAAAACAGATGTTCACTTAAAAACATGTACAAAGCTGTTCATAGCAGCATTATTCATAATAGTTAAAAAGTGGAAACAAACCACCATCAGTTGATGAATAAACAAAATGTGGTATAACCATATAGTGGAATATTATTTAGCCATAAAAAAGTTGAAGTACTGATGCAGGCTAAAAAGGATGAAACTTGAGAACAATATGCTGAGAAGCAGATGTAAAATGCCACACTTTGTTATTCCATATAGAGGAAGTGCCCAGAATAAGTACATCTGTGTGTAGAGAAAGTAGATTAGTGGTTGTCAGAGACCGCAAGAAGCGGGGAATTGGAGAGTGACTGCCCATAGATACAGGCATGCTTTCTGGCATTATGAAAATATTCTGGAATTACGTAGTGGCGATGGTTGCAAAACTTTTGGAATATGGTAAAAGACACTGAAATGTATGCTTTAAAATGGTGAATTTTGTGGTATATAAATTATACTGTAGAAATAATAATACTAATAACACTAATAAAGCAAGGTGTCTTTCCACATCTCCATGTCTTGTATTTTCATTAAAAACAAACACAAACAAAAAGCATTTCAGGGCCAGGCTCAGAGGCTCACTCCTGTAATCCCAGCACTTTTGGAGGCCTAGGTGAGAGGATTGCTTGAGGCCAGAAGTTCAAAACCAGCCTGAGCAACAAAGCAAGACCTTGTCTCTATGAAAAATAAAAAGTTAGTCAGAAATGGTGATGTGTGCCTAGAGTTCCAACTACTTGGAAAGCTGAGGCAGTAGGATCGCTTGAGCCCAGGAATTCGAGGTTGCAGTGATCTATAATCACCAGTGTACTCCAGCCTGGGTGACAGAACAAGACCCTGTCTCAAAAAAAAAAAAAAAAAAAAAAAAAACTCACTTTAATAGTAAGTGGCCAGAATACGATGCTGGTAGCATGTTGTGAGGAAATGTATTAGATGAAAGAAGTTAAATTCCAGTTTTCCTTTTTTCCAGAAATGAGGTATAGGGGAGAGAAACACGTACTTGGAAAGAACTGACCCAGCCGAATTGGAAAATGTGGGAAGGGGATGGGAAGAGGCTGCTGCACCTGAGATCTGGCTCCAGGACTTACAGCAAGGGGAACTTGGTCAAGTTACAGGCTCTGTGTGCCTCAGTTTCTTCATCAGCAAAACAGAAGGAATCATCCCATAAACTGTAAGGTCGATGCTATCAGCGGGTCCCCAGATGGACTGCGCATCTAAGTCATGTTAACAAACACATTCCAGGCCCCACCTGAGCCTTCTGAATCAGAATCCCTGCAAGGAGGACAATGAACTTGTATGTGCACTGACTTTCCCAGGTGTTTCTTACTCTGATCAACTTGGGGGTAGGACCCATTGAGCTGCATCACATCATTCCAAAGCCAAAACACAACAGCAGAACAAGAATATTTTCAATGCAGTCTCTAAAGCAGAGGAGAAACTGTGGAGGGAACCTAGAAATGAAAGAGATCTGGCTTGCTGGGCTGCATATAAACTTTATTTTGAGTACAGCAGAGACATGAGCCCTTCGGGACACATGCCTGAGGCAGTGACAGTCCAACTTTGGAACAGTGGAAGCCCTAGTTTCAAATTCAAGCATGCTTTGAGTAGAAATTAAGTTTACCTCTTTTTGCACAGTAACATGGCCAATCCTTCCTAAGCTGCTCAGCTTACAAAAAAAGGAATCGTCCTGCTAGGAATTCAAACTTCAGCAGTCATGGGTAAGTAAGGAAGTCTTATAAATCTATTCTAGCCACCTAACAAGAAACCAGAAATTTAGCAAGTTCTTTCACTTTCAGGACAATTGTGTTCACTAGATCAGAGGCATTGAGACAAGAAGAACAAACCCCTAAAAAGGGAAAGTGTTCCTTGCAGTTTTAGGACATCACTGGAACATTAGGGAAGTGGGAACACAGCTGCCTGCTCTACAGTGTGGGTTGCCTTTGTGTCTGGAATGTGTCTGACGTCCTGATCCCTGTGCCCATTTCAGGAGGCTTGGGAGGAGCCCAAATCACTGATGGAATTGGACAGTGTTGAGGAGATGGCTCAGCAGGACGAGGGTAACTGCAGGGCAAGTCTAGGTCATACTGAGAGACAATGAGTGGCGCTGATGGGGACAGACAAAGATAAAATCAAAAGTTTGTGCTTCATCTTCAAAAACTCAAACTAATAACAAACTTGGCCTTATAAGAAATAATAAGTATTTTTCTATTTACATGAGAATTTAATCTCAAAACAGAAATCAGAAAAATATTAAGTCCAGGACATGAAACCTAAACCATTGCTCATATTTATTCTTTCTAAATAGAGCAAAGTGTAAAATCTTCTCCATAAAACATACATTGTGGTTATAAAAAGGCAAAAGTCTTAGTGAGAATCATTGGTATTCCATAGAAGAGTGAATTAAACACAAGGGAAGACCCAAGTCTCATACTTCTCTTGCATATTTCAAAGTTCCAGGGAAATTCCAGGTGATAGAGGTTATTTCCCATACTGTTAAAGCAAGGTTGCAGACACTTGGGAATTTTGGTCCCAGTACTCTAGGAGGGCACACCTCTGTCCTGGAAAATAATACAGGAATGAATTCTCTTCCTGTGACTCATTCTGCTCATTCTTCCAGCATCACAAAAACCAAAAAATGGAAATAATGGCCAAACACATGATTTGCTATCCCTCTTCTTCAGGTTTCTTACCTGTTACTTATGGATAATAGCTTTACCTTAAGGATTATGATGAAGACACAATGTCCAAATATGAGCACAGTTTTGAACAAAATGCCTTGTATGAATTGGTCGATGAATAATTACTAAATAATTATGTGAATATTTACTGAATTATATGGATCATATGAATAATTACTGAATAATTATTGTGATTGCTTTTATTGGCAGTGCTGAAAACTCATCCCTGTGTGACCTCAAGTAAGCCATGTAACTTTGTGAACCTGCAGTTTTATCATTTAGAAACTTGAAAGATTTTCATTCTGACACAGAATGTCAGGTCTCCCAGACCCCAGAAAATGCATTGACTTAAAGCCTTTGATAGATCTCAAAGCAGTATCCTTACAGTGTCATTGGAGGATGGTGGGGGCTGCAGAGACAGATGCTTTCAAATGGATTGATGCAGTCCTCCTTCCTTCACTTCCACATGAATGCTGAGCGGCCCAGGATCACACCCAGTGCACCCACAACTCAGGCAAGTCCAGCAGCCAAACTGAGGAGACCCGGGCTGCAGAACAGTCTCCCAAGTTCCAGGCTCACAAAACCTAGGTGGGAATGAAAGCTGAGAAAGTGAGGAGGTGGTTCAGGGGGTCACTCTTTCCTGCTCATTCCTCTCACCTCAAACTCACCTACTGCACAGCAACACTGAGGATCACCAACTAACCCTGACTGGAACCGTGATCTTGCCATGTTCTGTTAGTGGAATGCAACCAAAAATCAATGGTGTTAGTCCAGCTCAACAAAATATACATCAAACCATATTCCACAAGAACTGCTCGTGGCCCTGTTCTTTTCAGTATATGGGAAAACAAAATAGCCTCAGGTTTACAAAAATTCCCAAGATAGATGGTCACACGTGTTTTCAGGAGACCTCTATATAAATGATTTTGATCACTTGATACCTGGAAAAGAGGTCTTGTGGCACTTGAATGACATCCATAAGTGATAAGTATGAAATGTAGTGCTCAGTGACATTGAAAAACAAATCAACCCACATAGAGGAAGAGCTTTGGACGTAGGGATGCCAAACTGGTCTAGAGTGTAATGAAAGCCCAAGATGGTGCCCCACTGAGAAAAAGAAATCAACATAACAGTGGGTTGCAGGAAGAAGAATACTGAGACAGGAAAGAAAACATTTTTTAAAAATGAATTATTCCTTCACTTTCTAGTGGATACAGAAAAAACTGCAGAAGACCCAGAGGATATCAGAGCAGGCTAAAAGTTTGGTATCTTACACCTGTGGAAAAGCCTAAGGCTCTGTTTTATCTTACAGCAGGTGGGGTGACTTCATGACTACCATTAAGAAAATATAACCTGTTGGGAAACTGTTTTTGCCTTGATGATTTTGTACAGACAAGAGCTAAACAGTGAGGACTATGCTTAGATGTATTGGGAAAGAAATGGGTCTGTGCCATTGTCACGAGGGTACACGAATACTGAGAGTGAATGCTGAAGGAATGATCCACATTGGTGATGACCCTCAGGTGAGACCAGGGTGCCTGTGTTTCAGCAAAGCCTGGGCAATTGGAATGCAGGGCTCCTAAGATTCCAGGACACCCCCCACCTTCTAATTCTGTTATTGCAACTGCAGACGGTTACCTGGCACGCTGGTGACAATCTTCCTCACTCTTGTCAGACTCTGAGCCACTGGCAGTGCCTTCAGCTCTGAGCTCAGACACCTCAAACCTTGTTTTTGTGGTTAAGGATCCTAAATTACTGTGGGGAGTGATCATGGTTTTCTCAACAGTAAGTTAAGAATTTCAGTTACTGACATCCCTCAGTCCTGATTAAAACTATTTGGTTTCACCAGTTTTTAACCCACCATGTGTTTGCATTTCTTCTCCCCAGTCCCTGGCTCCACCTCTTCTGCCACAAACCTCAGCATGGTGGTATCTGCCGGCCCTTGGTCCAGTGAGAAGGCAGAGATGAGCATTCTAGAAATCAACGAGAAATTGCGCCCCCCGCTGGCAGAGAAGAAACAGCAGTTCAGAAACATCAAAGAGAAATTTCTTGTAACTCAAGTGAAGTGGCCTGCTTCCTGGTCAACAGGCAGAACAAATACAGTAAGATCTATAGGCTCACCATCACGAAAGTGATGAATGATGTCCTGTCTTCCCTCTGAGAAACTAAATGCTCTCTCCATCAAAAATAATTTCTTCCTTCCCATACTTCTAGGAAAACAGAAATGGGTATTTTAACATTTTGTTAAGGTTGGAAGACAGAGGTACCAAAGTATTTAGCAACTTTCCATGTTTGCAGTCAGATGGGGGTGGGACTAGAGTTCAAATCCCAGTTGTTACTTTCTGACACAGGCACAGAACGACCTGTTTTCTCCAAGAGGCTTCATCATGTTTTCAAGAATCCTCTCTGTACCATATAAGATCCTGCAGACAAATAACATCTAGTCTGTTGTTCTAAATGTCTGGGACTAGTGAACTTTTATTCAGTACAAGATTCTGTTGAGACCCAATAGTCAAAGCTCTGTTCTAGTGACCCTGAGGGAAACTTTGTGATAGTACCCAGTACCCGCTCTGAGGAGCTTCAAGAGGTGTCTGCTCCTAATAGAACCTGTGGTATCTGTAAGTGACAGCATCAAGAGCAGGGAGTAGGGGCCATGCACAGTGGCTCACCCCTGTAATCCCAGCACTTTGGGAGGCTGAGGTGGGCAGATCACGAGGTCAGGAGTTTGAGACCAGCCTGGGCAACATGGAGAAACCGCGTCTCCACTGAAAATACAAAAATTAGCTGGGCATGGTGGGAGGCACCTGTAATCCCAGCTACTCGGGAGTCTGAGGCAGGAGAATCTTTTGAACCCAAGAGGCAGAGGTTGCAGTGAGCCAAGATCGCGCCATTGCACTCCAGCCCTGGGCGACAGGGGAAGACTTATCAAGGAGGAAAAAAAAAAAAAAAAA